AAATGATTATATGTTAATAATGAAAATAGTTGGTTATGGCATAGAAGACTTGGTCATGCATATATGGATTTAATTGCTAAACTTTTGAAAAAGGATTTAGTCATTGGACTTTCAAAAATTAAATTTGAAAAAGATCATCTTTGTAGTGCTTGTCAACAAGGAAAACAAACTATAATATTATTTAAATCAAAATCTTTTATTTTCACAATTAGACCTTTACAACTATTGCATATGGATTTATTTGGTCCCTCAAGGACATCTAGTTTATGTGGTAAATGTTATTGTCTTGTTATTGTTGATGATTATTCAAGATTTACATGGGTTATATTTTTAGCACACAAAGATGAAACATTTTCTTCTTTCACAAAACTCTGTCGTAGAATTCAAAATAAAAAAAGCTTTCTTATTACTAATATTCGAACCGACCATGGTAGAGAACTTGAAAATGAGAAATTTGAATTGTTTTGTGATGAGCATGGTATTGGACATAATTTTTTAGCACCTAGAACCCCTCAACAAAATGGTGTACTAGAAAGGAAGAATAGAACTTTAGAAGAGATGAATAGAACAATGCTTTGAGAAAATAATCTTCTTAAATATTTTTTGGCTGAAGCCGTTCACACCGCATGTTATATTTTAAATCGTGCATTAATTAGACCTATTCTAAAAAAGACTCCTTATGAACTTTGACACGATAGAAAGCCCAACATTAGTCACTTGCATGTTTTTTATTGTAAATGTTTTGTGCATAATAATGGTAAGGATAACTTATGTAAATTTGATTCAAAATCTGATGAAACAATTTTTCTTGGCTATTCTTTAACTAGCAAAGCTTATCGTGCTTTTAATAAAAGAACGCTTGTTATGGAAGAATCTATACATGTGGCATTTAATGAAATTAACATCTCTGCTCCAAAGCAAATTGTTAGTGATAATATAGATTTAGAAGAAAATGTAGGAGATTCAAGTATCTACAAAGAAAAGAACCAACCATGTAAGTTGAACAAAGAGATTGAACAACCTATTCTCCTACCTCAAGATGAATGAGGAAACAATGATGATTTGCCAAGAGAATGGAAGTTTGTTATAATCACCCTAAGGATTTAATCCTAGGTGATCCTACAAAAGGTATTGAAACTCGCTCTTCACTTAGAAACATTTGTAATAACTTGGCTTTTTTCTCACAGATTAAGCCTAAAAACTTTCAAGAAGCCAAATTTGATGAACATTGTATAATAGCTATGCAAAAAGAGCTTAACCAATTTGAGAGAAACAAAGTGTGAGAACTTGTGCCAAAACCTAAAGATCATACCATTGTCGATACCAAATGAATCTTTTGAAACAAGCTTGATGAATCCCGCACAATTATAAGAAATAAGGCTAGACTTGTTACATAAGGATACAATCAAGAAGAAGGTATTGATTTCGATGAAACCTTTGCCCCGGTTGTTAGATTAGAAACTATTCGCATGTTACTTGCATTTGCATGTTTTAGAGATTTCAAACTTTATCAAATGGATGTAAAAAGTGTCTTTCTTAATGATTTTATAAATGAGGAAGTTTATGTTAAACAACCCCTAGGTTTTGAAGATCATGCTTTTCCAAATCGTGTTTTTAAACTATCAAAAGCTTTATATGGTTTGAAACAAGCACCTCGTGTATGGTATGAACAATTAAGTAAATTTTTGATTGAAAATAATTTTTCTAGAGGAACGATTGACACAACACTTTTTGTTAAAACTAAAAATGATGATTTAATTATTGTGCAAATATATGTGGATGGCATTATATTTGGTGCTACTAATAAAACCTTGTGTAAGGAATTTGCTAAGTGTACGCAAGGTGAGTTTGAGATGAGTATGATGGGAGAGCTAAATTATTTATTTGGGCTTCAAATCAAACAATGTAAGGAATGAATTTTTATCAACCAAGCTAAGTACACAAAAGAACTACTCAAAAAGTTTGGTATGTATGACTCAAAAACAGCTGAAACACCTATGAGCACATCCATTAAGTTAGACAATGATGAAAAAGGTAAGTCCATTAATCAAACAAAATATCGAGATATGATCGGCTCATTTCTTTATTTAACTACAAGTAGACCCGATATTATGTTTAGTGTTTGTATGTATGCTAGATATCAATCAAATCTTAAGGAATCACATCTCAGTGCTGTTGAAAGAATTTTTAGATATCTTGTTGGCACTCAAAATTTGGGACTGTTTTATCCTAGAAGTGTTGCATTTGATTTAATTAGTTACTTGGATGTCGACTTTGCCGGATGCAAACTTTATAGAAAAAGCATCAGTGGCACTTGTCACTTTCTTGGTAACTCATTAGTATCTTGGTTTAGCAAAAAGTAAAATTCTGTTACTTTATCAACAACCGAAGCTGAATATATAGCTTCCGGAAGTTGTTGTGCCCAAATACTTTAGATGAAACAACAATTGGAGGATTTTGATTTGCATTATGATCATATCCCTATTAAATGTGATAATACTGGTGCAATTAATTTAAGCAAAAATTCGGTTCAACACTCACGAACAAAACATATTGAAATCCGACGTCATTTTTTAAGATATTATGTTCAAAAATGGGATATTGTACTTGAATTTGTAAACACCAATAAGCAATTGGTGGACATTTTCACAAAATCCCTAAGCGGGGATCGTTTCAATGTTATTCGTGGCGAGCTTAAAATGTCGATTTCTACTTAAAAAGTTTTGTATGACTGTGAAACTTGAATTTTTGTTAAAATGATATATGTGTATTGCTACATTGATATGGAAACATTTATATCAGTTGACTGCTCTTAAGTCCTTCATACATTTATTCTCCTTAACAATTTGCTATTTTTAACTGTGTAATTTTTTTTTGAATTTTGTATTTTGAGGTAAAATTAACTTTGCATACATTGATTTTTTTAAACCCTCATAGTATTTTTTTTACATTACCATTCCAGCAATACCAACGTAAGTTTAATTTCTGCTGGTACTATTTTATTTTATTTTTTTTATTTTGCACTTTTGATTATCTTTTTTTTTTTTGATGTCATTTATCCCTACCATTTTCTTCCACCTCCCCATCCTCCTCTAGATTCTGACCCATGATTTCCTTTTGATAATGTCATAGGGGGAGAAATTATATGATGTTATGTATTATGGTATTATTTTCAAATTATGGTATTATTTGAGAACTAATATAATGATTATGTATTTATAATTTGATATCTTAATCTCCTATCATGTCTCTAATTAAAGCTTATTTATTACACATGTGCTAACCTATGTATTTAGAAATAAATTCAGGGAGCATGACTTGAGGGGGAGCTTTTCTTATTTTCAAATCAAATCAAATCAAAACATTATTATGTGCCATCATCAAAAAGGGGAGATTGTTAGACTTATTTATTTTGATGATTTATTTATTGTGTTTTTAATTTATTTGAAAGAGAAAAATAGAATCAAAATTTATTTTGATAATTTATTTGAAAGAGAAACATAGAATCAAAATATTTTGATGATTTATTTGAAAGAGAAAAATAGAATCAAAATTTATTTTGTCCTATTATTTCTCATCTAAACCTTTATCCTAAATGTTGTTGGAATGTATTTAATATTTGATTAAATCAGGAGTTCAAACAGCCCAAAAAGCAAATGTTCAAATAGCCCAGCACAACAACAGTTCAAAAGGTTCAAGTGAAAGATATTCAAATTTGTAATGATGGAGTAAAAGATATTCAAATTAGTAATGATGGAGTACAACGACTATAAACGATTATAAATTCAAATGAATACAACGGCTATAAACAGTTATAAGTTTCATTATATATACCAAAGCCTCTAATGCAAACAAGTTACAAAAAAATTAGAAAATATTCTTTAATTTATAATCATTCACATCTATTCTTTGAAAAATTATCTGAGGAGTGTTTTTCAATTTTTGTTTACATCCTCTTTCAGAAATTATACACTGAGACGTATAGTTTTAAGCCTATATTTCCTATGTGAGGTTTACAGAAAAACCAGAGTTTTATTTTTATATCTATCTTTGAGAGATAATTCTTGTAACTTTCTGTGAAAGCAAAAACACATTCTTTTCAACCTTGTAAGAGTGTAGTACACTTAGTGTTCTTGACTTAGAAAGTCTGTGTAAAATCCGTGGAGGATTGCTCCATTTATAAAGAGGTTGCTAGCACCCCCGTGAAGCTAGAGTATAGTGAAAAATCTCAAGTGAAGCTTGAGGAGTGGACGTAGGCCGAGTTGAAGCCGAACCACTATAAATTTGTTTGTCTCTCTCTCGCTTATCTCTTTATTTTATTTAAATTGCTGTAACTATATTTTACATTTTCACTGTGCTAAAATTATTAACTGACATAGTTATTAGAACACTTGTTTTAATTATTTTTATTTCATTAACTATATTTATCTATTGTGCTAGTCATAATTTTAATTAGGGTATTATTAATTTTTAATTGTAAAAACCTAATTCATCCCCCCTTAGGTTGTCTTTTGGGTAACAAAATTGCTAAGGGGAGAATCTGCAATGAAATTTTAAATCTCAAGAGGAAAATATAATTTTCAAAAAGTGAGGGAGAAACTGTAATAAATATAAACTTCTGGAGGCGTCAGTGTAATTTATCTTGAAATAATGATGGATGGTAGATATGGGTGAAATTAATATTTAAAATGAAGGACAAAATTGTTTATTTAATTCATGGTATTTTTTATGTTTTAAGGTCTCCTTTAATAATTATATGTTTTAATTAAAAAATTATTATAATAATAATTATATGTTTTAATTAAAAAATTATTATAAATTGTAATATTATTTTTTTACGTATTTTTTTGTTAAAAATTAAAAAAAAATTAAAATAATTTGTTTTCAAATGAAACCTAAATTTACAAAAAAAAAAAATATATATATATTAAAAAAAATAAAAGAATTTTTTTTTTCTTTCTTCATTTCCAATACAAATGGGTAAAGAGAGGGTGTTTCCAATATTATTTCCCAAAATTATTTCCCGCCACAAAGGATCAAAGTTCGCCGAATGAAGCACAAGCACTCATAAATTCTCTCAAATCTTTATGCTCTTCTTCTACTACGGTTCTCCTCTGTGCTCTGCTCTGCTATGCTAAGTCTTTCTTTCTCTCCTTCACTTCTTCTTGGATCCTCCGTTTCTAGGGTTTTCAGGCTTCGATAAAGGTTTCGAAAACCTAGGGTTTTGACCGAACGCTCTACCAAAATAACTCCAAATACGGAATTGACATTAGGTTTGATTCGATGAGTGCTGTGAACATCACCAACGTCACCGTCTTGGGAAATCCATCATCGTTTCTCACCCCTTTCCAGTTCGAAATTTCATACGAGTGCGTCACTCCTCTTAAAGATGGTACCCTCTCTCTCCATTGTATAAGATTTGATTGATTTCGCTTTTTTCTTTTTCTTTTTCTTTTTTTGAAATTTTTTATTGGTGTGTGTGTATGTATGTATATATATATGGTCAAGGTCAATGTTTAGGGTTCGTATTGTTTCAATCGATTTGTATATTATGTTGAAACCTTATCAATTTTTCAAGGAAATGGCTTTAATTGTCTCTTATTGCTTTAGCTAGAACGTTAGCAACTTTTGAGTTATATTCTGCTAGGGTTTTTTCAGCATGTGTTGAAATTTGATTTAAGAGCCAAGTAAAGGTAGAATTCTTAGACCTCTTCTTTGATTGGGAATGAGATTTTCAAGTTTGATACTTTGATTCTTTCCACTATTACAAGTTGGGAGGTTGACATGGTATATTATTGCCCAGAATTCAACCAAGTTGTCATGGCAATTTCAATATTTTACTGCAACTGCTGGCCGGTTGATGTTCCCTTCAGCACACTCTGTATATTTACTTCAAGGCTGTGTTGGATCATGGGTTTGGGTAAGGGTTTGGAAACAATAAGGGAAAAGGAAAAGGTAGGTGAAATGCAGTTATATTTCATTCACATTTCATCCACGTTTTCTAAATCCCTACCCAAATCTATGATCCAAACACAACCCAAATGTGTTATTTTGGGAGGAAATCTACATTATTGATTACTCAAGTTAAGGGCGGTTTGGTTTCCCCTCTTCTCTTTCCATGCTGGAATGCCAGTAACTAGTAAATGATTTAGCTGGTCATTGAAGAAGCTTCAAACAGCATTTTGTTTCACCAACAAACAGAGAAGGAAGGAAGGAAGGAAGGAAGGAAAAAAAAAAGAAAAAAAAACTACACCAAATGTGGTTTCCCCGTATCCTTCCGTAGGTTGGTTACTTAGATTACCCTATTCTTTTATATTTTCATGCTGGAAGTGGTTTTTCTTCCTTTGTGGCAAAATATCCTTCCAAATGCAATGGGCTAAAAGGTCTTATCTGGGAACATGAATTATTTTATCTTTATTAGCAGTTCCATAGATCTCACAGCTAGGATCATTGGTTAGATTCCTGCTAGCTGTTATTAATTGTTTTTTTTTTTTTATATGTGCCACTTGTTCGTTTTACCACTTTGTCTGAAAACCTGATTGAATACATGTCATACAGCTCAAACAAGAAGAAATAACTGATAATCATGCATGATGAACTTGGACCTTTAATCTATTTCAAGTACCTGATGGTGGTGCTGTTGTTCAATTCCTGTTCCATGGGGTTGAGGCAGAAGCTACAAGGAGGGAAAAAGTTCTTGTGCTTTTAATTATTGACTTTTTTTTTTCTTCTTTCTTTTCTAAATAGTTCACATACTTTTTCCCTTGATAAATCATCTGGTTTCCATGTTTGTCTTGTTATCCCTTCCTTTTGATTGGAATCGTGGGGTTAAAGAAATGCAACTTTGATGGTGCCAGTATGATATTTTAAGTGTGATTAAAATAACACGGTCCTGAATGGTATGTTGAGGTAACTTACCAATGCCTAGGTCAATGAGCAAGCCTTGAGGAATCTTGATACCTTTATTTGATAGAAGAAACCTTAATTAAATCTTTTCAGTGCCTTGTCAGGTGAATAGTTTAACGATTCAAAACTCTAGACACTCTAAACTTTTTATGGTTATGTGTTGTTAAAGAAGAATTAAAGTGTTTCTTACCAACTTTAACTAATGATCCTAGAAGATATAGGATGCTCAAATGCACCTGATTAATCTAAAACAATTAATTGTTTTCTTTGGGAATTTATAAGTGGATTCCTTTGAAAATTGTTGATAGACTTTCGAGTTGAAATTGGAAATTCTTGAAAATGGATTATCGGTTGTTCAGAATTGTCCCAACATAATGCTGTCCCAGGGCTTGGGGGGAGTGGCCCTAGATATGATTTGTTGATTGTGTATGTGCATGAGCATCATCATTTATGATTACCAAATTATTGAATTAACTGTATGGTTAAAAGTTTTGTTCTGGTTCTCTTCTTGCTCTTTTTTGTTTATTTATTTTTTCTTTTTTTGTAAAGAAGAAAATTGGTACTCATTTTTACTTGATCAAGTTAAGTCAGGCTTTGTGGTTGATATATGTTAATTCTGAAATAGCCGTTTTTTATCCAGCTTATAGTTATTTTATTTAATGCAGATATTGAATGGAAACTCATTTACGTGGGATCTGCTGAGGATGAAACATATGACCAACTTTTAGAAAGTGTACTTGTTGGGCCTGTCAATGTTGGGAACTATCGTTTTGTCTTCCAAGTAATTTCACCAAGTCCTTGAATTAATAATCTGTTCAGAATTTCCTATTTTGATTGCATATGGATCAACTCTTATCCATTATATTTTTGCTGGCCACTTCTACCAGGCAGACCCTCCAGATCCTTCAAAGATCCGCGAAGAAGACATAATCGGTGTGACAGTGCTCCTACTGACATGTTCTTATCTAGGTCAGGAATTTGTCCGAGTGGGCTATTACGTAAACAATGATTATGAAGATGAGCAGCTAAGAGAGGAACCTCCTCCTAAGGTGTTGATCGATAAGGTCCAAAGAAATATACTATCTGACAAACCCAGAGTCACAAAGTTCCCCATCAATTTCCACCAGGAAAACAGTGAAAGTGGAGAACAAGCAGATGGAAACAAAGAACTGCCTGCTCCACTTGATAATCCTTCAAATGAAGGACTTTAGGTCCTCAGTCTTGTGAACGTCTCTAGATTCCTGATCTCTATCTATTATAGGCAGATATAGCAAGATTGCCCGCTTAGCTGATCTAATTGCTCAAATGTTAGATGAAACAACGCGTTCAACTTTTTATTTTTATTTATTTATTTTCATTTTGTAGTATTTATTTTGATCCAATATGTGCTTAGTCGCTTACCTTGCATCATTCCAAACTGGATTATGGAGTTCGTGATTATATGAAAGTGACAATTTTTTGTTTTGTTGGCTGTATGCAGTTCATGATCCCAGTCATTCACTGTGTCAGGTATATGTGGATTATTTAGTAAGGGGAGCTTCTATTAGTTATTTGCTTATTACAAGCACCTTTTGAATTGCATGTGGATGCATTAATTTTATTTGTCAATTTTGGTTCAATGCTTTCCTATTCCTTGTTACCTAGTAAGAATACTAGATTATATATTGATATTAGATGCAGTACATCCTCCAGTCTGCTCGGCCTGAATAAAGAAACAAGTCCCACGAAATTTACAGAATTTGGCATCCACTGATGTTTCCCTGTGCTTAATTGCATGATTAAATATTGGATGTAATAATGATATGCGTGATCCAATGGGCAATTAATTTACAGGAGGGTTTACAACATTGTTGGGTCAGGGGGTGATCAGACTTTTTACTGAATTTCGTTTGCAATTTATTACGGGTACATGTAAGTCTTAATAAATTGACTTATTGTTTAATAAGTCTTATGAGAAAAATTGATCATAAAAAAATATTATTAATTGTAAGTTTTAACGATAATTTATAAAAATTATGACAAAAGTCACTAATTGTTAATTTTTAACGACGTATGTAAAAATTGTCACAAAAAAATTATTTTTAATGACAATTTTATCAAGATTTATTTATAATAGGATTTGATTGAAATTAAGCCCAACTATTAAGACCTATTGATAGTTTATCTAATTTATTATTAGCCAGTGATATCATGTAGAATGGTATGATTGTTATACTTAATATTTTATCTTCAATGGATGCAACGGGGGTATGGATGTGCATCTAGTAATTTAAAAACAAAAGAATTTTGGTCGGGTTGTGGATATAGAAGTTTCAATCTGCTAAACCTAACCCAACCGTATAGAATTGAGAATTCTTCATAAATATTAATATATGAGATTTATTTGTTCATTAAATAAATTACTGGAATTTGAAATGAATGCTTTTCACTGTTCAGGAAAACAGAACCCCATTTCTTTTCATTGTTCAGTTAAAAAATTAGGTTTTTTTTTTAATTTATAAAATATGATTTATTTAGTAAAAAATTAGAATTGTTCTTGTAAAATTAAGATATGGTTTTTTTTGCCAACCTGATTTGCATTCACTTGCACTTGATTGATTTCGAAACCAGGAGTGGACAGATACCGAAATTTTCTTAACCTGAACTCCGGTCAGTTGGATGGCAGATAGTATATAACCTGACCAAACTCGCACTGTGAGCACCCCTAACAGGTACCACAAAAATTATATAAAAAAAAATTCTGGGGTTCTGGATTGGGTTAAAACACTCATTAGATGAGCTTTCAAGCAGGCTTGATGTGCCACGGCCTAAATGATTGGGGGCTTGTTTTGATGAGAATTGTAGCATGTTGCCACCTGTTCGCATTTACTGAAGAAAAGAAATAGAACCCTAATTATTCGCTGCAAAAAATGTTTTAGAGAAACTAGCAATAACCGCTGATCAATCAATCAATCAATCGTGTATTGACAAGTATCAACTACATACGCTAGATTTTCACCAAGAATCAACTCAAATACTCATATATTGACAAGTATCAAACACATATGCTAAATTTTCACCAAGAATCAACTCAAATACATACACCGAGTATTTTTTTGTCAATTTGCCAAAGCCAAAATTGTATTGCCAAAAATGTAATTCTCTGTAAACACGAAAGGACAATACCAACACAAAATTACAAACACGAACCGCGGCAGGGTTGAAAAAGCAAAACTAACATAATTGACATATTAGGTAATCCAGTTTGCATGTGCTAGGTGAAAACAAAATCTAGAATTAAACAAGTGCTACCAACCATCTCTTAGCAGAAACAAACACGCCATTTCTTTGTTTCATTTTTTGCTTCGGTGGACTGGATCACAGAATGCAACAAGCTTATCACATGCTTCAAATCTTGCTTTTACGCCTTTTCTTGGCTGGACTCTTTGTTAATTGTTTGGCTTTATCCAAATTTTTATCTTTACCCTTTTCCTGCAGTGGACATAAAAATATGATTCGCGCTTTATGTAATCTTGTAACCAATAAATACACATGGGATCACTATGCATGATGTCAAATTACCTTCTTCTTTAACCTCTTCCTCTGTCTTTGCCGTCCTTTATTTTTTTTCTTTGAGTTGGCTGAATTCTGGTATAATTAATTAATAAAGAGAAATTAATTCACCCATAAAAACAACAGACCTTCAATGTATTTCAGTGGGGATCTCAATAGCAGATGAACCAACCTGTGTAGCAGCTACAATTCGAGCATGCCTCTCTGCATGAGTCTCTCCATCTTCTTCTTCTTCCTCAATTTCCCCATCACTGTTGAGCACGAGCTTCAGCCTCCCTTCACTAAGTAACTTTTCAGATCGGGCATGTCTCTATTACAAAAATACAAAAGGAGTTTCAATCAGATCAGCAATTGACAGCATATGTACAAGTGGGATACCCATTGGCCATTCTGTAATGCCCCCAAACTTTTGTTTTGAGAAAGGAAGATTTGGAGTACTGCTAGGATTATCAAATTTTTGTACCAAATTTGCTTTTACCAAAATGACCTGGCACGCTACATGTTATTTATGCATTGTTACAATACATGGAAGGTAGGGTCCATTGCATCAATACAATGATGAGACATCATTTGGTACAAAATTTTGGTCATCATGGACTTTACATAATTTTCTTTCTAAATGTACTAGGATTACATATTTAAGTCAACCACAGGTCAACTGCCCATAAACCAATTTAGCAATTAGATAGGGCAGGTGAGAAACAGACGTTAGAACCAATTTAGCAATTAGATATGTCAGATGAGAAACTGACATCACATAGAAGAGGTTCAATATGCCCAAGATACTTGAGGGAAAAAATTATTATTATTATTGTTATTTTGATGTCAAGAGGGGAAAATAATTTGGTAAATGGTTGATGGCCACAAAATCTACCTTGCAAAGAAAAAAAAAAAGAAGACAATTAGTAGTTCATCCATTATTAGCAATTAAATGGCCGAAGGTTAATATTTCCTCAAGAATTGCATCTAATCGCCTCAGAATGAGGCTGGTTTCTTATAAGCCTAGCTGGGTAATAACTATATCCTGTGTTTCTTGCCCACACATGTGCTCATACACATATTCATGCATATACAAACTCACAAACATAAATACAGCTTCATTACATGATTCACTAGAGAAAGATGGAACAATTACTGGATACGATACAAATTAGTACTTAAATGATCATATAGGAAGAGGGCAGAGGGCCCTCCCATCGCAGCAGCCAAAAATGCAACACTTCACAGCTGAAGTAATGAAACAGGGTTTCTGTTGACACTAACTATACAGGATGAGGATTTTGAATGGAGCAAGAAACAAAGATATGTGAAAGTGTACCTTGGATTTTAGATGAGTCTTCAAAGTCTCCTCTGACAAGCAAACAATTCTTGGACAAAGTTTGCACCTAAAAACTGATTTACATTTCAAGATGCAGTCTACTTCAGATAGGACTGAATCCTTTTCAGCCACGGTGTTAGACAGCCTACCCACAATTCCAGCATCTCTTTTACTAGATGACTGGCTTTTGACAAAAATGTTATCATCATTTGTTAGTAAACCTGCAAATGTTTACAGTATTAAATATTAGAATATTGGGATTTTCAGGAGTTATGGCAAAGCACGCATTATGAGGTCAACCTTCAACATAAATAATGCAATCTAAATAAAAGAAGAGAGCTTATAGTATAATGCTTTAACAGTCTAATGATGATACTCTCATACAGACAGGAAAATAGCTGACATAGTCATGCAAATTTTTAAGAATCATATAAGTAAATGGCAGTGAAATCACAATGCAAGTTTGGTAAAAAAACAAATTGAGGGCAAATATCTCATTGTTAATCATCTATTGCAGGTTGCAAGATGTGGAAAACATACTCTCAAAAATCAACCCAAAAAAAATACGGAAATCAAGCCCACCATCATCAGCTTCTCCTTTTCCATAGCTGTCCAACCCTAACGCACAACCCTTGACATCAATTGCACCACCGCCTTCCTTCAACAGCCACTCTTCCCATGAGATGCTCAATTCTATTCTCTCTCTTGAAAGTCAAGTATTCTTCTCTCCCTAGAAGAGACCATTGGATGGTAAATTTTGCAATAGGTCCATAAGCTCCTTGTTTTTTGCATTCTTAACTTCCAGATGTTAATAAAAAAAAATATAACTTTCAAATTATCAATTCTTTGAGTGCTGTGGAATATGTCGTTGTTTTATTCATATTGGATTAATTTGTTTGACCTGTAGTTAGGTTTTCATATTATATTTTCGTTCATGTTCATCTAAGAAGCACAGACAGGGATATAATGTGGACACGGACATGGATGCGGACACAGGACTATGTGATTTCAAAAAAATGGGGACACAGACACGGCGGGAACACGACAATAAAATATGTTTTCACATATTTTTATCTGCTATCTAGATTAATATTACACCCACAAACAATCAATATTAATAAAAACTAACTCTAATTTTATTTATTTATTTTTGTAAAAAACCGTTAAATTAACACTTACAATTTATATCTTTTTTTTTTTATTTTTATGGATGATCTATTAAGTATTTAAATCTGAGAGAAAAATAATAAACATTCAACATTCAATATTCAATATTCATCAAATAAAAGACAACTTGACATATCCCCAAGATTGTTAAAATCGGGACTCTATATGGGATCGTTGGAAGGGACTCGTGGATTGTATTGTAAAATCAGATCGAGAATAGTAAGATTCTACTTTCAATGTAAAATAAAATGAAAAATTATCAATAATGATAATATATGTTACGTAATTTTAAAAATACTAAAGAAAAAAATGATAAATTTGATATAATGCATCTTTTATGTTAACATCAATTAGAAGAGACATTTGAAAAAAGTGCTTATAGTCAAATTTTTTATATAGATATACACATATACATACATATATATAAGAAATAAATACCCAAAAAAAATTGTTAGGATCGGGATAGTAATAGAATCGGGATCGTATGTGATTCTACACGTTTTTATAAATAGGATTGTAATAATTTTAAGATTCTACTAAATTTAAGATCCTAGTGTGATCGAAATCGTTTGGCACAACTGAAATCATAGAACTGTAACATCCTACTGTCGAAAAATAGTTTAAGACCATGAAGAGTGGACCTTTTGTTACATGAGAGACACTGATACACAAAAAATCTTCATGAAACAAGATATATAACTCGTTGAATTTCAATAAAAAAATATGCAGAAGTTAAGAATTTCAAATAGTAGAAATATATAATACTACCTGATGAGTCAACATCAACTTCATTTGCCGAGGTGCTATCCTCACTCTTGTATCCTGAAAAACACAATATTCATTCAATAAGAATTTTGTGCCTTTTTTTTGTGTGTATGTCTGTGTTTGAGGTAAGATAATGAAGATATCTAGAAGCATCCCCATTGCTCAAATCTGAAATAATCTACAACCCATGTAGAAATGAATGTAATGTCCAAGATAATTTTTAGAGATGATGACATAGCTGAAATGTTTGAAAAGAACAAAAGAGGAACAGATTCTTAAATACTCAATGAAATAAACAAATGTACATGGTCAAGCCATACCAATGAAAAGTTATGCGAATATCAACATAGAAATTTCCTACTACCATTTAATTAGGTTGTGTTTGGATCATAGATTTGGATAGGGATTTGGAAAGGATAATCCAAACACAACCTTAATATAACTAACAAGAAAAAAGAGAGAGAGAGAGAGAGAGAGAGAGAGAGAAGAAATTTATCAAGATTCAATCCTGTGCAACAAAGCAAAGCAACAGAACAAGCAAAAAAAAAATGTTGAACAAGAAGAAGAACAAAAGTAAGGATAAACAAACCAGAGAAAGAAGAGTGAGATTGGCGGTATTCTTTAACTTCTGCAACATCATCCTCTGCCTCTGTTTCTTCAGCGGCTTCCGCCTCTAGTTCAGAGTCTGAAGAAGATGAAGAAGAATCAGAGTCACTATTTCTATCTCCATGTTCATGCCTATAGAATCTCCTTTTTATCATTGTCTTTTACTCTGTTCAACTGCAAAAATAAAAAATAAAAAAAATAAAAATAAAGAAGGTGGAAACCCCGAGATCTAAGTGAATTACTTGCAACTATTGAACCTACACACACAACTTGCTGTAAATATCATCTTTGTTTCGCAAAATTGTTCCTAGGATTTTGGATTTGGCAAAGAGTTTTTCACTTCATTTTCTTTTCTTATCTTTCACTTCACAAAATTTCAAATCCTAGACGAGAAAAAATTCCATATGTCAATATCATGAAAAGATTTACAAATAAATTAAACCCTTTATAAATAATAAAACAATAAGAAATAGGATTCAATGTGAGAGATCATCATCATCCCAAATTTAGCACAAGCCTGGGCATTCCAAAGATCATCATCATCCCCAACTGCTTTCCTTCCCTCCCTCATCCTTTCCCAGCAAAAATTCCCCCGAACAGAAAATAATATTTTTTAACAAAATTCACCAAAACAACAAACAAACAGACTAAAAATAACAACAATAATAAAAAAACTTTCAAACAGATTTCAAGCAATCTCAAGCGATTTGAAGCAAATTGTAAGCAATTCTCCATCATCAGAAAGACAATTTCAGAAAAAATACCTGGATTTCAAGATGCGTGATGGATTTCAGCAATCTCAAGCTTCGTCTTAGGGTTTGTGTGTGGTTTAGGAGTTTCGGCTTCATCTGCTTCGTCTTACGGTTTGTTTGTGCTTCGTCTTGATCTTCTCCATCAGAAAGACGATGTGAAGGAGTCGATTTCAAGGGTTTCGGGTTTCTCAGATGGATCGAAGATAGAGATCCAAAGTGTTTAGAATTTAGGGTTTAGAGAGAGATAAGACAGAGGGAAGAGAGAGGCAGGGACGATCGGTAGAGATAAAGATGGAACAGCAGAGATGGAAGCTAACAGAGACAGAGAGGCCGAAAAACACAGAGAGAGAGAGAGGAGAAGGATCTGAGATGGAGAGAGAGAAAACACGAAGGGTCTGGAAGGGTTTAGGGTTTAGATTTAGGTTTAGGGTTCGGATGAGAGGGAAGGGTCTAAAGGCGATCCAACGGCTATCAACATGTGATTTTCCTTCGACGACTATAAAAATCAACACATACATTGGGATAACTATAAATAGAGTTCTCTCTAAAAATTAAGAATTGTTTGGGATGATTGTATTTTTTGACTTTCTATGAAATATGAGTTAGATTTGAATTGGATTTGAAGTGATGGGTTAGAGAGGTGATGTGACTTAAATAAGATGATGCGATTTAAATAAGATATTGACTTTTAATTTTTTTTCAAATATGCCAAACCAATCCTAAAAATAAATTGAGGATAATGTTTTTCACTAGTATTATTATGGAAGTGGTAAATGAGAATGATGGATGAAAATAGTAAGTAGTTGTTTTTTTTTATTCAATAAATGAATATGTAGATAGGCTACTCCACCACTAAGGGTGGTGGCCCAGTGGTGAAGGCATTGTCTTCTCACAGTCATGAGTGAAGTTCGATTTCTGGAAGGCGCGAAAATCCTGGATTTTCCATCCATGGCTGGGGCGGTTGATGAGCTCCACTGGTGCCTTGGTGGTAAGAGTATTACCCCTTAGCATCTACAGCATATCTGCAGGGAATCCCACTATACCTACGTCAGGCACTAAAAAGTATGTTTAATGCATGTCACGTCAGGCACTAAAAAGTATGTTTAATCCCTACACCTACGTCAGGCACTAAAAAGTATGTTTAATGCATGCCAGGCACTAAGAAGTATGTTTAATCCCCCACCGCACCTACGTCAGGTGTTAAGAAGTATGTTTAACCCTAACAAGTGGTAATGAAGATTCGAACCCAAACTTTAAGCGAGAGATTCGAAAGTTTTATCAACTGAACCAATTCCCTGGTAGTAAGTAGATGTTTGAGAACATGTAAATATATATATTTTTTTATAATCAGAAAAAAAAAAAATCAAATATCACCTTTCAAAAAGAAAGAGAAGGATGATTGGCATTGTATTAAAGTATTATGTTATTCCGATGATGACATGTCAACGTGTCAAATTATAATTTTCATTGGCCCATCGTTTAATTCGTTGAAATCGTATTAATTCGCAGTGCTTTAATTATGAATTGTGATTTAAATTATAAAATTTATAATTTGTTCACTGAATTGTTTCGCTCTATTATAGTTAATACATATATATTTTTTAATTTCTAATGAAATATCAATATAAAATGAGTGTGAGAGAGATTTAAGATATGAAATTTATTACAAATTAGTAGTTATATATATGAAATATATTATATAAAATTATTTTGTATTATATATCTAAAAAAATATTATATAAATTAGTATTATATTTTATGCAAATATATGATAATTAGTTAGAATATTCTTCAATCCGTCAATCCAGAAAAAATCTCTCAAACCATAATTTATTAATCCGTTAATCCGTGAACCCGCCATTTGATTTTTAACTTCACTCTCAAACTGCTTGAATTGCACCGCGCACATGTTTAGTTTTCATGATATTATTTTCACAAAATCTATTGTTGAACACATTAAAAAATAGTAATTAAAATTCTAAAACTAAAAATTCAAATGTAAAAGTATGTTAATTTATCATTTTATCAAATGATGTCTGCCCCTCCTATATTAATGGATATAGTGCATATACGTAAAGCCCTCCAACGCCGGTAGACTGTAGCTTGTTTCCCGGCCAACCTTCATGAACTCCATCTCCCCAATTCCAATTGAATCTGATCCATATTCAATGAGTACTGTTGACCAATTCCAATTGAATCTGATTCCTATTCAATGATTACTGTTGAGTCCCAATTCGAATCGAATCTGATTCATATTCAATGATTACTATTAAGTATAATATGGTTGTGTTCGGTTTCCATTTCCTTTCCACTCATTGAATTTATTACTAACGCCCATAGTCAGATTCAATGATTACTATTAGGTGTAACATCGTTGTTTTCGATTTTCATAATAAATAATAATGATACATACCTCTAATTTAAGAGTTCTAACACTAGTGAGGTAGAAGAACGAGAGAGAGTAGAGAGAGATAGAAAAGAAGTGTGGCCCCACCTTCACATAGATACGCTCCACATTGCATTAGAGCTCTCAAATTAGAATTTTTAAACATTATTGCCATAATAAATTTCATTTCCTCTCTACTCATTAAATTTATTACTAATTCTCATAGTCGTTACAAGAAGTTTCGCACATCATCAAGAAAAGTTCAGTACATTGAGAAATCCGGTTGAACCCATCAAGTGAATGTTGTTGGTATAATAAACAATATGAAAAACGCAATTAAAAACACTTGTTATGCTATTGTAGTAGGTACGGTAATTGAATTTGCACTGAGGACCATTCATGGATGCCATACTTGTGTTTTGTTGGACTCATTAATCAATTCTCATTTGTTGGACTCAATAATCAATTCTCACCCGTAATCGAATCCAAAAATTGGAGATTTCCAATGTTGCATGGAGAGTGCTTCCCCAACAGAATTTTTTTTAAAGTTTGGTTGGGACTCACAGAGAATTTGAAACACCAAATATTGTACACCATTCTAGAAATTGAAGGTTTCATCGATGAACTGGACAAAATTACAAAGATCGTCAAATCTTTGTCGACTCACGATTCAAACTATTATAAATTCATTGTTCGTGTGTTGGATTTAACTAAGGAGATCAATTTGCGTCTATCTTTATTTTCATCCTTCAAAATTATTACACAGTTCTTCATCGAATTTCTCTCTGACATATTTGCTGCCGCACATACAGTCTCCGTAATTATTGTTGGTGCACCAACCTGGATTACACTTCAGTGGATAATTGACCAATTGAGATCTCCTTTTATATAGGCAATCTAGCCTTCTTAAAAATAATCTAAAAGAACCCAAGAGTGGGTGGCATTATGGTTAAGATTTGGGGTTTAAGCCCCAAAGTTATGAGTTTAATTTCTTTTTCTTTGGGCCAATCTCCTGGACGAAGCACAGTTGGTTAGGAGATTGGACTTCAAGTTGTCTAATCAACACTTGGTGTGGGTTCAATGCTCCCTGCTGTGCGAGTCCTGACTTAAGCGGAGCTTGTCTGGGGAGGTTGGGGCAAGTTCTCAGGTCATAATCTCCTCGCTCGGAACGGCTAACAGGACACACTGGTGATCTCTGCAAGGGGCGCTGCCTTGGACCTGCGGGAGGGTAGGGAGGATTTTCTTGTAAAAAAAAAAAATCTAAAATGTACCATTAATATTGTGTGTCCTCTTAGGACCTTCCACAACCTTCTTAGAACTATCTAAAGTATATTCTATAATTTTTTGTTAGGAAAAAATGGTTATATGGTAACTTTAATGCGAAATTAAAGTAGCTCTCAACCGTTAGTTGACATAGGATTAAATAGATTTAGATTTTTTGTAACAAAATCTTTACACCACAAAAAGAATGACTAAAAATCATTAAGAATTGAATGAGAAATTGTCTCATAAAGTTAACCTTATGAATAAGGTATTGGAAATTGTATATAACTATTAATACCATATTGATTGTAGAGGAAAGTATTGATGGATATTTAAACCTCAAGATTAATAAGGGCATGAGCCCTTTGGGGCATCCAAATTTTTCTAAATGAAGGGAGTTATGGATGTTTCAAGGATGAGTTTGGGCAAAAATTATGGTCCAAGTTAATTATACAAAAATTGTCACACGTGCGTACACCGCCTGCCCAGATCCATCTTGGTCCGTGATCCGTGGATCTTAGGCTTGAGCTTGAGGCTTGTTGAAATGGGTTATGTTTGGGTTGGGCCGGATTGGTGGTCCACCAATCTAATTTTTTTGGGCCAGGCTTGTTTGGCGACTGCAAGTATACACACGTGTATATAGAGTGTGTAACTCACACACTTACTCCTCACCAATTTTGTGCATTACTCCATCAGTTTTGCTGGAGTAATGGGTGCATTTGCTGCTAGCCTTTATGGTTGGGAGACTTTTTCTTTTTCCTCCATTGTGTATAAAAGGAGGCCATTTTCCTTGGTTTTTAACACATAATTTTTTGCTTCTATACTATGTAGTCAGTCTGCTCCTATACTTTTCTTTTTGTGTGAAAGAGTGCTATCATTGTTGGTTGACCATAACTAAGTAGAAGGTGCTTTTGCGTTAACGAATCTATACCATTGTATCCTGGAAAACAAGCGTTGACATACCTCCAACACCCACAGTGAGGCGGCGAATCTGTTTTGAGGAGACTGTAGTATCACACAGGTTTCAGTTTGCTTCCTTTAACTATTTTATCTCACTGTTAAGTTTTGTTAATAAATATTTCTATTCACCAAAATGTAATCTCTAATATGAGTTAGATTTATGATTTCTTATTATGTGAATCAATTTAATTAAATATGAATCTATTTTTTAAGTTTATTTAAATTAAACAATTTGTACAACATTTTTCATACAAGCTCTAGAATCGTGTCTAAGGCCTGGTTTGGGATCTTAGAAAAAAATTCAAAAAGTTAAAAAGTTACTAAAAAAGTTAAAAAATTATCACTATTCACAAAAAAAAGAATATAAAAAAATTAATTTTACACAAAATTATTACAAACTGAACTGACGTTCCACAGGCATGAGCTGACTTTTTGGGAAAAATTGCACAGGTGGGGTGCACAAATAACACAGTGTTGTTCGGCCCGTGGGGGCTCATCACGGGTCCCGTTTTGATAATCTGAACCGTTCAATGTATACAACTCGTCGAGTACTATATACTTATAAAAAATCACGTTAATCGGATATCACTAACTGCATGATCAAATTAGTTTTGTATAAAAAATGGATGGTGTTATAGTTAACGGTTGAAAAAAAATTAATCCGATCAGATAGCTATCGATATCCGATCAATGTGAATTTTTGCAAACATATAGTACTCGATGAGTTCTACACATTGAACGGTTTCGATTTACAAAATGAGACCCGTGGTGGGCCCCACGAGCCAAGCAGCATTGCCCATTCAATGCCCAAAAGGAGGGAATCATCTCTTAGTCCCTTA